TCTGAATAGGCTCGAATTGTCCTCTTGGCTAACGTATGCTATTTTAGCCGCGATTGTTCTCGCATCTGGTCAAAAGTCCAGTTGACTCCACCTTCCTCTTTTGCATGTGACAATGGCCTGTCTGATCTAAGCAGATCTATTTTTCAATTCCTCTGTCCTATAAATTCACTCCTCTCGTCCGTCAATTTTATCCCTAGATAAATTGACTTAGTAATTGACAACATTCCAAACTCTTATTATACAGGTAAAAGATTCCACCCTTTTGCTAAGCAAATTATTCTCAGTGTTTCTCGAGAATTGTTTCTTTTCCGACTACTAGAAACCGTATATCATGCAAGCTTAACGCTGATTCTCGATTTGATATTCAAATTTTTTTGCTGTGTTCATGAAATTCTCTCTCTCTCTCTCTCTCTCTCTCTCTCTCTCTCTCTAAAAGAGATTGGATGTAAGTCTGATGTCTCTGCACCCTACCATAGAAAATGTTGCGCACTGTGTTAGGGTTAAGTGTGTATACAGAACGCATTGCTATGAAAAGGGCCCCTTGTACTTGCCTAACTGTCTTAATTTATTTATTTAAGATGGTACGCACTGCCTCAAATGAAAGAAGTCAGAAGCCATGCAGCCGCGGTTGCACTGCCAGACGGTCGTGTGTTTTTGATTGGTGGTGAATGCTCCTCTTTTTGCCCGCTCTCCTCTGTGGAGGCATGCCATCTACGGACGTCATCCGACTGGAAAAGACAGCCATACACGTCCGGCAACTTTTGGAGAACTGTTGCTTCCATGAATAGGCCACGCACAAGCCACGCGGCGGTTGCCTTCAAGGGCAGCATTTTCGTGGCTGGGGGCAGTACCACAAATCACCAGCCTGTGAACACAGTCGAGGTCTTCACTCCGCCCTCTAACCCGCAGCAGATGGGACAGTGGACAATGGTCAGTAGCACAACTTTAAGGGGGTCTCTTGGTTCGCTCGTCGTCTGGCAGGACAGACTGTTTTCCTTCGGTAAGTCCACAATCCCGCCGTTCTGATCAGTTGGTTTTGTTGTTCTCAAGCTTGCACAAGTCCTATTTCCAGAAAGAGTAAGAGGTAGATCTCAAGGGTTTTGCTGGTAAGACCGGCTGGGCAGTGTTGTCTCCGCACCCTCGCACTCCGGTGTACTAGCATCCTCTGTATGCCGGTGGACTTTAAATCCGGCTGAATGGCTCCATTCGGTTGTAGCCCCTATCACAGTCTCATTTTTGTGGTGATCCCAGCTGCTTCCTTGTTTCTGTGCAGACAATGATATATCTTTGCATGGACTAGGTCGCATGTGGCGCGAGCCTACACGAGCTGTTAACCCTTTTTCGGCCACTGCGCTTAAACACGCCTTAGTTATTCTCACTTTGCCTTATTACCGATCTGAGCTTAGTGAGGGGATGCTGCGCAAACCTGTAGTGGCCGCTAGCGGCCACTGTGGGAAGCCGTACTCGGTGACTCATCACGCCAAGGCTGCAGTCGCGATGAATGTCCTTAACTTGCGCTCTTGTGTGAACGGCCTAACCCTGTCCACCTCTCG